TGGGACCTTAGACTAATCCCTATTTAAGTGTCATTTTACATTGAAAGTTCATGCTGGTTTGTTTATACTTTCTTGTAAATTCATTCCTCACTAGTTCTTTGAATGCAAGCTTTGGTGTTTTCAGGAAAGTTCTAGCTGAAGGACAGAAAATAGTTTGTTTTCTTTCTTCTCTACTTGTTGTTGTGTGGCTTCTTGTCAAGTACAGCTCACAGCGACCCTATGAACAACAGGTCTGAACCTTGCCTTATTCTGAGCCAGCCTCACAATCGTGGATACGCTTGAGCCCATTGTTACATAACTATTTTTTAAAAAATCTTTTCAGCTTGCTTCTAATTATCCTCTGAATACTCACAGATTAGGCAGCCATGCAAGTGCTCAGCTGCTAACCATAAGGTCAGTGGTTTGAACTTACCAGCTGCTTCCAGGAGGAAAAGAATTGATGATCTGCTTCCATGAAGATCATCACAGCTTAGAAAACGCTGGGGTGCAGTTCTCCTCAGTCACAGGAAATCACTGTGAGTTGCAGTTGACTTGACAGCAGTGTTGGGTTTTTGTTTTTAAACAGCCATGTATCTATGAAAAGGATTTTCTTTTTAGCAGCCATTTGATTCTATTCTAGAAATCTTCTCGAAGTGCCTTTTAACATCTCTCAGTTGTAGTTGAGAATTTTAGATAGGACATGAATTCACAGGGTGGACATTCTATAATCTAGATACAATTCTGGGATAGGAATTAAATTTGGCAGAAAGTCTTCTTTGTTATAGGATCAACATGAGGAACAAAAAAACCCCTACACTATCCATGAACCACTCCCTTCTTTGCCATGAGACCAGAAGAATTGGAAGGTGCCCAGCTACCATTACTAAACATTTTGATCAAAACTTTCATACAAGAGTATCAGTCAAAAAGGGGGATAAATAAAGAACAAACCTTCAGATTCTCGTGCACTTCAGGCTTTCTGGTACCTTGGAACCCATACTATTGCTCTAAGGTAATCTTTAAACCTTAAACGAAAATTATCCCCTGAAGATACTAGTTAAAAATAAATGAATGAATGAATACATGCATGCCATAAGCATTTTACTCTTTGAAGACTGTCCTTATGGCATTAGATTGGCAGTAGCAACTCCAGGAATGCGTGGGAGCTCCAGAGGCAGTGAGGGGTGGTCATGAGGGGAGGGTGCTCTGAGCAGGGTGAGAATGGCTGCACACCTGAGAGACTGGAGTCAGTGCAGTGAATTTTACATGTAGTAACTGGTGAACTGGTTTCTGTTTTATTGTGCATATCCTTAGCAACAACAGAAGGAAAGACGTGAAGAGAATTGGTACAAGAGATCTTAATACCATGTGAAATATAGTATAACAGGAATACCCCTGACCCAGAGTGTGATTTGAGCTGTCATACACCAGCTAACTTTCTTGACTAGAATAGTGTATATATGACGTCAGTGTCATCATCTGCTAAAAAGAAGTTGTGCTGCAATCCCAAAGACATGCGGTTTGAATCCACCAGCTGCTCTGCGGGAGAAGGTTGATCAGTCTCTTCCTGTGTGCAATTTACTGCTTCTGAAAACCTGCTAGAGAGGGTCAGCACACAACAGCACCACTCCACTACTACAGCACCCCTAGTCATCTCTTTCCTCCCTTAACTTGACAATAAAGGAATACATCCATATGCATGTTAGATTGCTTTTTATTATTTTAGAATAGTTTTTTGGTGGGTGTTTTTTCCCCCAAATGATATAAACCATTAAGAATAAGGAGACTTGACAAATAATTTGGCAGTTGAAAATGAGAAAGGACTTCTCAGACCTAAGAAAATGGGGTCTTAAATATGGTAGCATGGAAAGCCAAAAACTACCCTGTTTTACCCCAGTTACCCCCAGAAGCCTGAGAATCAGCTTTATTAAGTCTGTTTAGCAGTAGGAATCAAGTTAGGGGTTAAGATAAGGATTGATTGAGAGTTTTATAAAAAGCAGTCAAATACCCAGGTCTCTTTCCCCATCCTGATAAAAATCTTAACCTCTAGAGATGGTAAAAGAGAGGGTGTTGGACTTAGGGACAGCAGACCTGGCTTAGAGTACGAGGACAGCAGTGAAAAGTAGAGGACAGTATATGCCTCTACTGGCTTCTCCTTCTCAACACCACAATGCTGGTGGCCAGGCCTTTACTCCTCTGGAAGGAGATTGAAATAGTCTCCAGGGGAATCTGACAACCAGACCAAGTGGAAAGAGGCAAAGATAATGACGCTGGAAGTGTTCAAACCAGGCCTCCTGACCAGAACACCCTACAATTAAAAAATAAATAGTCTGAACCTTCCCACTCTTAAATATTAGACAGTCAGGGACCACCATGCTTGAGATCTAAATACACAAGAAAGGAAAAGAAAAGCATATTGGAAGAAACAGACTTCACATAACTGCCATGCATCTCCTGTGATGTTTTATGAGAGCCTAAAACATGCATAACTTGCATACAATGAAGAAGAATGTAAGAAAGATCGTTCAGAAAATAAAAAGGAGCTCTTGGGAATTAAAGATGATGATAGCAGAAATGGCGCCTAAATTGTGAATCAAGCGAGGAAGGATAAAAACAGATATATAAAGTTTCAAAATAATTCCTCTTCTTAAGATGCCGCTTGGAGGCTGTGCTCCCCCAGATGTCACAAAGGGAAAAATTGAATTTAGGAAGCATGCCAGTCAATAAGAAGAGAAGGAAAGAGAAAAGAATCTCAGGACACTGGCATGAGGAGGTGAAGGCTTTGGGGCTGCAGTAATCATGGAGGAAGCCAGCTAGGATAAGGGTTGGGCAGAGGCTTTGGGCTTCTCCTGGACGATGAAGTTGATGGACTGCCTGATGCATGTGAACCCTTCAGAGGAAATGTAGCGGCAAAGACTGTGGTGCTGAGCTAGTAATTATTGCTTAGTCACCCCCGAGGAGCAGAAGCAGAAGTTATGCAGGAAAGTAAAATAGTCGTAATTCTCCATACTTCACGACTGTGAGCACTATCTGGGAAGTCATAATATACACATCAGAGACTTTCGTCACCACAATTAGGATGGGGATATAGGAAGGTGGAAATAGTGCTGCTATGTACATTGGGAGCCAGGAGTAAGATGGAGGCCACGCTCTAATCTCCCATAGTGAGAAGCCAACAGGTAAAACATAAAAATGGAAGAATCAAGATTAGCTTTCATGGGTTCAGTTTGCATTTTATTCTGGGTTCCCTAGAGGCTAGTGAGGGGGTTTGACCAGAGTGCCTGGGCCTGAGAGTGTCTAAGTCTCGCCAGGCACAACGTCAGCTCTCCTGGCTGCCGGCAAGGCGGAGAGACTGAGGTCTGAGACTTGAATAGAGCTTCCTGATTGGTAAGAGGGAGCATCTGTTCTCTGGAAGGGAACGCATCCTCCTGGAACCCCTCCCAGATTTTGCCCTCAGCATCTCTTCATTTATATCATTTTTGTTAAATTACAATTGCTATTGAAAGAGTGTTGCTTCCTGGGGAGTTTTGTGAGTCATTCTAGAACCCAACGAGTAGCGGGACCAACTGATCTAAAGTGAAGGGCATCATGTGGTCTGGTCCCCACTGATCTCACCCTTGCTGGTTAGAGATGAGAGACAGAAGGTCACTAAACAGAGAAGAGAAGCTAAGAAGTCCGTAGGACTCCGCTAGTGCATAGAGAGAGATTCGTCATCCGCACACAATGTGGAGTCAATACCAGGAGGTCATTTTAGCCTCCGTGGGTTGGTCTGCCTGCTGCCTTCGTCAGCAGCATTCACTACTAGTGTGATCCCCCTCTCGACAGTTACTGGAGGTAGCACTCTGTATAAATTTTTAAATAGTTTATGGTGGGGAGCACAGGAAAGTGTTGCATTTAGTTGCATTTTAAAAGCTCCTTGTAGAGTTATTTGGTGAATGTGAATGATGCTGTGAATGCCAGGGAGAGTGAAAATGCTGGTTAAGATGGTATCACCTTGATAACATTTTTTCTGGGAAGGGGAGGGGTTGGAGAGAGGGCCTTTTCTTAAATCTTGCTGCTTCCATAAAAAAATGAAGTGGACAAAACGACTATGAAATATCATCTCACCCTAGTAAGAATAGCAAAATTTAACAGAGCAGCAAACATCAAATACTGGCGAGGTTGTGGGGAAACTGGAACCTTTATTCACTGTTGGTGGGAGTGTAAAATGGTGCAACCACTCTGGAAGGCAGTATAGCGCTTTCTCAAAAAGTTGCAAATAGAAATGCCACTTGACACAGCAATTCCACTATTGGGAATATACCCCCCAAAACCCCATAACTGCCACCCAGGAAGATATATGCACACCCATGTTTATTGTGGCTTTGTTCACAATAGCAAAGAGTTGGAAACAACCTAAGTGCCCATCAACAAATGAATGGATAGAGAAGCTGTGGTATATTCACACAATGGAATACTATGCTGCATTGAAAAACAAAGAACTTATAAAATATTATACAAAATGGGTGACCCTGGAGGACATTATGCTGAGTGAAATATCTCAATCACAAAAGGACAAATATTGCATAATGCCACTGTTGTAAAACAGGACTGACATCGGCGTTGGAGGGAGACTGAGAAAGATGGGATAAATTATACTGCATTGAATCAGATGAGGGAGAGAACTGTTTAAAAGCGGTATGTAATTAGATATTATTGTCATGGCAAGAGTCCAGAAAGAAGGCTGCATAGTGGAGGAGACTGGCTGGGGTAGGAGAGGGGGAATTGTACAACAATGAAAGAGTTTTACTTTTCAAAGAGAAGAGCGAACTGGGGGTGGGACATGGGCAGGGAGAAAAATGCAACAAATGAGTGAATGGAAATCCAAAGTCTCTGTAAACGTTCATTAAAATTAATAATAAAAACTAAATATTTTTTTTTAAATGAAGTGGAAGAAAGACTGCTTCTCCATCGGCAGGTGACTTTGCAGGATCGGTAATATCTCCCAGTCTGAGGTACCTTTCCGCCCCTTTTTGCCTCAGATTACCCTCTTGACTTGAATCACAGTGAGGCCTTCCTGCAGACCACCACGTTTCTTCCAGAAGACTTCACCTACTTTGCAAACCACACCTGCCCTGAACGACTCCCTTCCATGAGTGAGTATGACTCCAGGTTGCCCTCCACTGATTTACTGGTTTTCATTCTGGTCAACCGAAAAGGGGGTGGGGGCGCACCCTTCTTTCTGGTCTTGTTATTTGCCTGGTATGAGATTGTGAAAGTCATTTGGGGCCCTCACATCCCTTCAGCCCCTCTGGAAGAGGGGTACCCTTTGCAGTCACACTTTCACCCCTTCCTTTATACATGGAGAAGTTCTTTATGGGTTGGATCTGATAGGATGCTCTCAAGAAAACAGGTGGTGTGTTTTAGACAAGACTTAGACCACCTGCTTTGTTAGTGTAAATCTCACAGTGATGCTGATTAGAACTTGTTTGAAATGAGGAAAATGTTTTCTTAACAAAATACTGGTTGCTGAAAACAGTCCTTGTACCTTTTCTTTTTTCCTGCTCCCCCCTTTCCCAATCCATGTATAATCTTAATAGTGTAGTGGTATTAAGTTATTAAATCTTTCTTGTGTTTTTGAACTTCTTAGTTCAGCCTCTTGACTTAAATCAGAGGTGAACAGTGGTCTGAGTTTGGACAAGGTTTGCCAAGTGGGGCTTAGGGACCCCAGCCCTCTGGGGATGTGGAGGGGGTGTGTGAGCTGCTTCAGAGCAGGCTGCAGGGGCTATGGGCTCAACACTTTCTGCTTCCCCTTGAGGGTGAAGCGGGACTGAGCTTCCGGCAGGTTCCTGTTTTATTTAAAGTCTTCATCTCTCTCCATCCTTGGCAAAGTGGAATTCAGAAGGAGGTCTCCTCTCTGAGTTTGCTGGTTTGTACAGATGATAGTGCCTCTTGAGAACGGAAATGTCAACTGAAGAAGCATTGAACTTGAGACAGTGACAGCCTCTAAACAACGTGCTTTCTGGCTGCTTAGTCCTTCCTTTCTTTTCTGTTCAGAGGGCCTGATAGACGTAAACATGAGTGAAATCGGGATGGATGACATTCATGAGCTCTTCTCCAAAGACCCCACCATCAAGCTGGGCGGTCACTGGAAGCCCTCCGACTGCATACCTCGATGGAAGGTAGGATGCACAGGCAGACTCAAAGTGTTGGCACCAAGACTTGCCACCATTCTGAATGCACCATGGGCCTCACCATTAGGACGGTTGTCATTTGATTCCTTCCACCCCGTGCACGGTGTTTGCATTTGATAGAAGCGTTTTGGAGAAATGAGCCTGCCCTGGAAATGTCCTTGTTCTGATTGTTGAGTGGGACCCTCCACAACTTCTTCACAGAAATGTGGGCTTAGCCGGGGAGGAGCGGGTAGATTGGCGGTGACACCTTAGCCAATGTCACCTTCACGACTCAGTGCTTCATGCCTTATTCTCCACCGGTGGCCTGGCTATACGACAAGTGGGGTGAAAAGAGGAGCTGTAGGGCTTGACAATGAGATTTGTTTACTGTTTTACTGCATGACTACAGTCAGAGACAGCTGAAGGTGGATTAAGCCAAAGGCCAACATTAAAATTAATGTTGGTTTTAAAAAGCATAAGAAAGATGGGCATTCTCCTCCGGTAAGACTGATTTAGGAATCCAAGGCAGACTTGCTCTGAGGCAGAACCGATTCAGCAGTAGTGGGTTTGGTTTTCAGGGTGTTGTAGGTTATTTAGGGGAGTACTGTTTGTGAAGCTGATTTTGGTCATATATGTCAGTAGATAAATTATATATCAGCATCACAGCAAAAAAAAAACAACCCCACCTCTCTTCTTGTGGGTTACAGTCCAGAGTGATTTCAGCAGGCCTGCTGTGTACAAGGCAGGCTGAATGAGACCAGGGTCAGTTTACTCCACAGGCCCAAGTGCCAGCCGCGGTCTTTGAAGACAAGGCAGCATCCCACCGTCCCTGAGAGCGTCCCCTGTTCTGCAGAGGTGTTCTGCTACCACAGAAAATGCCAGGGAACTAACTAGTGGACTTCTTCTGCTGTGACCTCTCCAGGTGGCAATTCTTATCCCCTTTCGGAACCGGCACGAGCACCTCCCCGTCCTGCTCCGACACCTGATTCCCATGCTGCAGCGCCAGCGCCTGCGATTTGCATTTTATGTGGTTGAGCAAGTAAGTGGCCTTTCCTTCCCCACAACCCCCTCCTTCCGCTTCTGACACTGAGGACTTCAAGCTAATCCATCCTCAGTGAGGAGAGCCAATATATATATATGGAAATGTTGCTGTTGAGTCACCCTGAAGCAAACAGAGCAGCTCTGTGCTCTTAGCCAGTCGGGAGTCTCAGCTGACAGTGTTCATCATGGACAAAGGCCTTTTCTGTGGTGCTTCTGCTAACACCTGTTTTGAGTAGTGCCTTCAGACTCCAGACCCAGGAAACTCGCCTTAAGATAAGGAGTCTTTCCAGCCCAGGGGACAAAACCTTGGCTTTAGGAGGCCTCTGTGCTTGTCCTGTCTCAGCTTTTAATTAACCACATGACCTGAGGTGCTGGCTGACTTCTAGGCCTTGGGTTTCATTTAAGTGGATGATCCTTGAACCAGAGGATCTGCTGACAATGAGAGGTTTACAGGCTTCCTTTATGCTTATCATAAGTTTAGTCTTCAATTCATTATTACTCTTTCTTTCTTTTTTTTTTAAATTTTTTTTAAATTAAAGCCAGGGGCCAAGTGACTTCTGAGTCATACAGTTAATGAGTCAGTGAGTGAGGGAGCCATGCGGGGCCAAATCTCACCTCAGTAAGCTGTCCCTTAGGCCAGTCAAAGACAGCAGGATGTGGCATCAAGCCTTCCTTTTAAAGCTGAAGTTCTCCTTCCAGGTTGGCACCCAGCCCTTCAACCGAGCCATGCTCTTCAACGTTGGTTTTCAAGAAGCAATGAAGGATTTGGATTGGGACTGTCTGATTTTTCATGATGTGGACCATATACCAGAAAGCGATCGTAACTATTATGGATGTGGACAGATGCCGAGGCACTTTGCTACCAAACTGGATAAATATATGTACCTGTGAGTATGAGTTCCTCTTAATTTAAGAGGTTAAATCTAAAAGGATGTGAGAGAGGTAAAACTCGTAAAGTCCAGTTAGCAGCAACCCAGATGCCTATCAGCTTGATGGAATCAAATGTGACTACAGTGGAATATTGGTTGTCAGTAAAAGGAAGGAAATACTTGTGTATGTTACATCATGGACAAACCTTGGAAAGTCTGCTGAGTGAAAGAAAGCTAGTTGCAAATGACTGTACATCATGTGAAGCTATGTCTATGAAATCTCCAGGAAAGACAAATCTATAGAGAAAGAAAGATTTGTCATTGCTCTAGAGTTGGGCAGAATGAGAGGAGGTGACGGGTAATGGGTACAAGGTTTCTTTGTTAGTCCATGAAAATGTTCTAAAACTGACATAAAGATTGTCCCAGACTGAATATACTGCAGACCATTGCGTGCATTTCCTTTAAATAGGCCAATTGTACGGTCTGTCCATTTTATCTCGTCGTTGTGTTACGTGCCATCGAGTCAGAACCGACGCGTAGCTGTCTGTCCAGTGGCTTTTCAGAGGCTCTGACTTGCATGGGAGGAGATTGCACAGCTTTCTCCTGGGGAGCAGCTCGTAGATTAGTAGTCAATTAGTACTGCCTGCCCTTGGCCTTGTCAGTGCAGCTCCGTATCATTACTGCCTGGAGGCTGTTCTGTCTACTTTCATCACCACAGGGTCACTAGGACTCCCTTGTATCTCAAGAGAGCTGGGTTGGTTTGACGGTTTTGGGGGTGGGTTTTTTTTAAATAAATGAGTTACCTTGAATTCAGGTTGATACATCTCAGCAACAGAAAATTATTTCAGATGGTTCAGGACAGTAGCAAATCGGTGTTGTGGGTTTTTGTTTTTTAAAAATACGGAACGCTTCACGAATTTGCATGTCCTCCTTGTGGGGGCCGTGCTCATCCCCTCAGTATTGTTCTAGTGTTAATATATGTGCTGCAGAAATGAGCACAGTCTTGGTGTGTTTTTTTTTTAAAGAAAGTAGCTAGACCTTTAAGGTAACCAGTAATAACACCAGGGAGGCACTTATTTCTTAGAACTACCCGCCACTTAAAGTCAAAGAGCAGCATTTGCCCAAGGATAAAACTTGAAAGGCGAGAAGGGGTAGGATGGAAGGATTAATGGAAATGAGAATCACCTGGAGGAAGCAGGACATGTGCAGTTCCTTTGTGGCTATTGTCATTAACGTTATAAAACAAAATGTATATGCATAATGAAATGAAAAACCTATTTGCTTTGTAAACTTTCACTCAGATCACAGTTTTTTAAGAAAATGACTTTATTCTCAAGTGGGAGAGCCTCTCTTGGGAGGGGAGTCAGTCTTCCCTGCGGGTGCCTGATGATGTTTGTCCCTGTAGGCTTCCATACACAGAGTTCTTTGGCGGAGTGAGCGGCTTAACGGTGGAACAGTTTCGGAAAATCAATGGCTTCCCCAATGCCTTCTGGGGTTGGGGTGGAGAAGACGATGACCTCTGGAACAGGTACTTCTCCTTCCGGTGCCTTTTAGACATGCTGCCTTATCCTCTCTGGACCAACACTGGCCAACAGAAATAGAGAGTGAGCCATATGTGTGATTTAAAATTACCTAGTAGCCACATTTTAAAAGGAAAAATAAAGCTTAGTGAAATTAATTTCACTATTAATTTTATTAATAATAAAGTACTGAAGAGCAGTGGTGTCACTCTGGAGACTAAGGTGCGTCTGATACAGGCCATGGTCTTTGCAGTCACTTGATATGCATCAGCGAGTTGGACAATGACTAGGGAGGGTAGAAGGAGAATTGATGTCTTTGAGCTGTAGTGCTGGAGAAGAGTATTGAATGTACCATGGACTGCTAAGAAAACAAACAGATTCTTTCTGGAGAGGGTTAAACTGGGCTGCTCCTTGGAGGCAAGGATTCTGGGGCTTCGTCTGACATACTTTGGACATGTTGTAAGGAGAGACAGTTCCTTGGAGAGGGACATCATGGTTGGGAGGGTGGAGAGACAGCACAGGAGGGGAAGGCCCTGTATGAGGTGGATTGATTCAGTGACTGGGGTAATTGGGATGGGTGTGTTGGAGGGGTGTGATTGGCACAGGTTAGAGCAGGGTTTAGGGCTGTTGTACATAGGGTCGCTATGAGTTGCAAGCGACTCGACAGCGTATAACAACAACAACAATGCGTAATACAGTATAATAATATATTGTCAAGGATTACATTTTACTTGGATCCAAGTTTATACCCACGGACACGACAGTCTAGAAATCAAACAATGTGTTTGCATTCGGAAAATCTGCTCAAAGCCCTCTTTAAAGTGTTCAAAAGCAAAGCTGTCACCCTGAGGACACAGGTGTACCTGACCCAAGTCATGGCATTTTCAATCATCTCTTACATGGGAAAGCTAAATAGTGAACAAGGAAGGCCAAAGAAGAATCAGTGTGGTTCCTTTGAATTGTGGTGTTTGGTGAGGAATGTCGAAAATCCCATGGACTTCCAGAAGAATGAATAAGTTTGTCTTGAGAAAATGTACAGAGAGAATGTTCTCTAACAGCAGATATCGTAAGACTTCATCTAATGCTCTTTGAACGTGTTATCAGGAGGGACCAGTCCCTGGACAAGGACATCATGCTTGCTAAAGTAGAGGGTGAGGTAGACCCTTAGTGAATTGTCACAGTGCCTGCAACAGCAGGCACAAACCCGACAGTTGTGAGGCTGGCATAGAACTTGGTAGGGTACGTGCCGTCTCCCTGAGGAGGAACCAGCTTGATGGTACCTAACAACATGTTATCCTTTCATCATGTAATCAGTATACAAATCAGTAATGAGATACTTTACATTCCTTTTTCTTCTCCTACGTCTTTGAATTCTCCTGTGTATTTTATATTCATAGCACATTTTGCTTCTGACCATCAGCATTTCAAGTGATTGGGAGTCACAAGCAATTTGTAGTGATGAAAGTGGTCAGAGCAGCTCCAGGCACTTAATCCTCTGAGAAGATTTTGGGAGTGGCTGATTTCTTTTATGAAAGAGACTAGAATATTTGCAGTCACTGAAATAATTTTCAGACACTTAAAAAATTACCCAACCAAGCATCAGAAACAAACACCAAAAAAAGTCTTACCATCCTAAAAACAAAATGCGAAACCAGTTCACTCTATAAATTTTCACTCAAATCACAATAGCAAGTTAAAAATAAAAAGAGATCAAAACAACATATCACACTGGCAAATCTGCTCTAAAATACCTGTTCTAAAGTGTTAGGAAGCACAGGCACTGCTGGTGCAGCCGTCCAAACAATGATGTTTTACACTCACCTCGTGTGTGTGGAAAAGCTTGGCAGTCAGTAAGAACAAATAAAGAAAAATCAATCCTTTTGAATTGTGGTATTGCGGAGGGAAATAATGAATATACCATGGACTACCAGAAGGAAAAAACAAAAAAAAGAAATCTGTCATGGAAGAAATGCAGCCAGAATGTTCCTTAGTAACAAAAATGGTGAGACTCAGGGAGCTCTGGTAGTATAGTGGCAAGAAGCTGCCCTGCAATACCAAGGTACGCGGTTCGAATCCATCAGATGCTCTGCTGGAGAAGGAGGGGCAGTCTCCTCCTGTACCAGTCAGATCTGATTTGATGGTACACACACACACAAAATAATAATTTTTTTTTTAAAAAAAAAAGGTGAGTCTCATATCACGTACTTTGTATGAGGAAGATGTCATGCTTGATGTAGTAGGAAAAAAGTTCTTCAGAACCAGTGACTTTCATCTTCTTGTTGTTGTTATTGTTGTTGGGTGCTACTGAGTTGAGTACTACTCATAGCAAATAGACCGGAACCCTCCTCTCCCGTGCTTTTCTCGTCAGCTCGGACACATTTGAGCCCAGTGCTGCAGTCACTGTGTCTAACCTTCTCGTTGACAGTCTTTCGCTGACCCTCCACCTTTCCAGGCAGGATGTTCCTCTCCAAGGAATAGCTTCCCCGAGCAATGTGTCCAAAGTGTGAGAGATGAAAGTTTGCCATCTTTACCTCCAAAGAGCACTCTGGCTGCACCTTCTCCAAGACATATCTGTGTGCTCTTCTGGCAGTCCATGGAATATTCAGTACTCTTCTGCAGCACCACAGTTCAAAGACACCAATTCTTTTATCATCCATATTCATTTTCTAGGTTTCAGATGTGTGACAAGTGATTGACAAGACCATGACCTTAACCTTCAGACTGACATCATTCCCCTTCTGTACCTTGGAGAGATCCCTTACAATTGACTTAACTGATGCAATATGGCGTACCAAGGGTGTTGGTTGTGAATCCAAGCAAGATGACATCATTGACAGCTTCAGTCCTTTCTTCATCTATCATGATGTTGCCCTTGGCCTAGTGGTGGTAGAGTAGAGAGACAGTGAAGAAGGAAGACTATCAGTGAGACTGGCTGATGGTGGAGACAACAGTGGGCTCAGACAGCCAATATGTGCGGACGGCACAAGACCTTGTAGTGTTTTGGTCTGTTGTACACAGGGTGCCTGTGAGTCCAGACCAGCTCAGCTGGACCTAACTTCACAAGATTCACGTAGTAGTTATTCTTGGCCTATTTCTGACTCTTTGTAAGTAGGATTATAGGGTTGGTATGAGTCACTGGAGGGTCTGCTATGGGTTGGTACTGACTTGGGGTATACAACAGCTGCAGCAGTGAGATGGAGTGGACTGCCAAGAGAACAAATAAATGTGTCTTGAAGAGGGTGCAGCCAGGGCGGTCCTTAGAGGGAAGGGTGGTGAAACTTCGTCTCCATACTTTGAGCGTGTTGTTAAGAAGGATCAGTCCTGGGAAAAGACATCATGGTCAGAACAGTGGAGGGTCAGGGGAGGAGGCGAAAACCCTCAACGAGATGGAGTGACTTTCAAGATAGAGTCAAGGGTGGCAGAGATGATAAGGATGTCTCAAGACAAGCCAAGGTCCAGATCCTTGTCCAGAGTCACTGTGAGTTGAAGACACTTTGACAGCACCTGACAACAACAGCATGAGTCGGAACCAGCCTGACAGCAGTCGGACCGGCCTGCTTTTTGTGCACCAGTTTATCCACGCTCATAGATAGGCTTGTGTTACGCAGTTTCTGTGGCTAGTCCTCTGGGTGAGGGTTATGAAGTAATATTTTTATATCAGTTTCTTTTCTAGCTTTGCTTTAAAAAAGAAGGTGTTGGTTTTTAGTGACAACGTCATAGTTTGCTGATAAGGATGCCAATAGTACAGAGGATCGTAAAGCAAAGGGGCGTCTTAACCCCTTGCCGTCCTGGTTCATTTCTTGGCAGTAGCCATTTAAACAAGCTGCGGCACCTCCGCCCCTTCCGTTCTCCTCACTTATAGAGAGCACCTTGTCGTTATTTTTAACAACTGCATGACTTTCTAGCATGCAGAGACCCTATCATTTATTCTCTTCCTCTCCTGTTAATGGGCATCAACTTTTTGCAAGTTTGAGCAGCCTTTATTCACTTGCACAAGGATTTCTTGAAATTACATTTCCAGTTGTGGGGCTGTGGCATCCTGATGTCTGTGTACATTTTAAATTTAGATAGCTGTTGAGATTTGGCTAGAAAAAAAATTTTAAATGCTGACTTACTTGCCCACCGAAAGTGATTGAACCAAAAGCCAAACTCAGCTGTCGTTGCTTGATTCCGACTCCTGGTGACCCTCCCCTCGGGTTTCTGAGCCTGAAAGTCTTCACGGAAGGAGACGGCCGTCTTGCCCACTTGATTCACATAGACTGTTACTGTTGGGTGCCAGGGAGTCAGAACTGACCAACAGCTAGCTGTCCCTTCATCCAGCAGGTTTTCAAAGGCAGGGAATCGCATGGAAGGAGAATTTCCCATCCTTCTCCCCCGGAGCAGCTGGTGGATTCGAGCCTTGTGCCTTTGGGTTGGTAGCGCAGCTCCTTACCACTGGGCCACCTGTGCTCCTTCCGTAGTGATGAGCGCACCCATTTTCTTATATCACTGTCGCTGTTGGACATAAAGGACCCTTCGGAGGTCTTGCCTCTTTGACGGGTTTCAGTGACATCTCACTCTCGCTCTCTTGGACTCTAGAGCAGTTGAAACCTTCTCCATATGCTGCGTTGCTCTGTCATTCCTCAGGTTGACTAAAGTAAAGGATTGTGGTGTTGTTTTTAGGGTAAGGTGCTGCTGAGTTGATTTGAGCTCGTAATGACCCTCTGACAAAGTGGGGCTACCTCTTGACGTTTCCTCAGCTGTAATCTTTGTGGAAACAAATTATCATGTCTTTCTCTGGAGGAACCACTCGATGGGTTTGAAATGCCAACCTGTCTCCTCAGGACGAAGCACTTAACCGTTACGCCATGAGGGCTCTGAAGGAATCAGGAGAGGAACATTCTGTTTCCACTCCAGTCCCTGGTGTGACGTTTGTCTGCGATCTGTCAGTGGGTCCTGGCCCATCCCTTATTTTTCCTTCAATCTTTATAGCTGGCTCACATACACTTTAGAATTTTTTTTTTTAAAAAAAAAAAAAAACAATCGTCGTTTTTCAAATCTTTACAAAACCATCAACTTCTTTTCCATGGAAGCAATAACGTTACTCTGTTTGGTTAGTTTGTGTATTATTTAATGAAATTATCCAAAAACCTTTGTCAGATCTCACTCAGTGACTCCACATGGTGGAGTAGGCCTGTCCATAGGGTTCCGAAGCCTGTAAATCTCTGTGGAAGCAGATGGCTTCATCTCTCTCTCACAGGGTAGCTGTTAGGTTTGAACCACCTTAACCATGGACTCTAATGAAGTGGAGGGGTTACTGTCGCATAAGCTGCCCTAGTAACCCTCTGGCTGGGAGGACTGAGCACTAACAGCACCTTAGAGAGCAGCTTGTGAGGCCCACACTCGGGGAGTCTGAGAGCACCCCTGAGTGCTAAGGAGCTTAGAGGACTTCAAACGACCGATCAGTCAGATTACGAGAAGCTGAGAAAGATTGCTGGGCGTGACTGTGAGTCTACACTGGTAACGCATCACCTTTGCAGCCTCCTCGTTAAACCTAACTCCCATTCTCTTTGTCTTGAGCAGAGTACAGAATGCAGGCTATTCTGTGAGCCGGCCAGAGGGTGACACAGGGAAGTACAAGTCCATTCCTCACCACCACCGAGGGGAAGTCCAGTTCCTTGGGAGGTTAGTGTCATGTGTCCATTCCTCTTACAGATGTCCACAGTGCTTTGCATTTCCAGATACCCGAGTGCAGGTTCCAGCCGCTTAGAGGACTCCCACCCTCATCCCAAGGTCCTCTTCTGACAGCCATGTGACAGTTGCTCCGTCTGTTCCAATTTCGGGCAGACAATTAAGGGTCAAAATGAAACTCTTGCTGAGAATCGGACAGTACGATCTTCCAAGACCAGCCCTGGTTCTACTTCAGCATTGTCCTCACCTCTGCAGCCTGCAGGGTGTGGAGAAAAGTCCCTGAGATCAGTCTCGGACCTTTCTCTCAGCTGGCATTGCAGAGCAGGGCTGCTACCTTTCTGCAGTCACCAGTTCTGGGCTGAGCCCTGAGCTTCTGACTAAATCCAGGTGGACCCGGACACACACACTGGATGTGTGGACAGCTTACACTTGCATTTGCTGTTCTGTAAATGTACCCTCATTTAGAAACCATGGAACCAACCCCTAGATGTAATAAACTCTCCATCACCTTTACTTGCTGCACCTGCAGCTTTTAAATAACGAACAAGTCTTCAAACCTTTCACTGCACTAAAGGCTAAGCAGTAAGAGCCATGTGTACCTGTTCCCACCGTGCTCGCTCCTAACCCAGGCACAGCCTGTCATCCCAGGTCGCACTGCCTGCTGAGTGGGGTGGGGTCAGTGCTGCATGTCCAGGATTGACTCTCCAAGTGTAAGTTGAGGTGAACACAGAGCTGCTTTAACTCTAGTGGCGTGAGCATGAGGGCACTGAGATCAGGTGGTGGCCGTTGTCTCCTGGTCTGTTTGTAGCATTTTGTTGGCCTTGCTCACATCCCGTGCCCTCGAACCTCGGTTTCCCCAGTGAATGGAATTAAGTCATAGGGCAAGCACCGAACAGGAAGCTGGTGGCGTTTCTAAGGAGACTGTCAGACCCGGAGCAGCATCCACCCTGTGTCCTGCACAGGATGTGAACGTGGGACCTGAGACCCTCCTGCGGTCTGCCCAGCACCATCCTGAGTGACTGTGGGGACCTGGGGAGCTGCCCCTCCTGTGATCTGCCCGGTCCCAGCCCAGGTGACTGCAGGGAGGCAGGTGTGCACCTCGCTCTGAATCACTCTCTGCTCTCTGCCTGACCAGGTACGCTCTTCTGAGGAAGTCAAAAGAGAGACAGGGACTGGACGGCCTCAACAACTTGAACTACTTTGCAAACATCACATACGACGCCTTGTATAAAAACATAACTGTGAACTTGACACCCGAGCTGGCTCAGGTGACCGAGTATTAAGTCGAGGAAGAGGAAATGTGTTTGCTTTAGCCCCCAGCCCCGAGAAAGCAGCCTGGTGAGGTGTCTGGGGGTCCACCCAGGAAGAGAAGAGGATCACAGGGTTCAAGGAGGGGACACGCACAAAATGCCCTCTGTGCTCCGACCCTCTGTGCTGGTGCATGGAAACGCCCACACCAGGACTGCTTTCTGTGTCCACAAGACGGACGTCTGTCTGTCCTGCTGCTCTTCCCCCTCCTGTCTCCTGCTCCTACGCCCCGTCTCAGCCACACTCTCCAGTACCGGAACTGGAGCGGTGACCTGCCGTGGAGTCTGCTTCCATGAGTGACTGTTGGAACTTCCTGGCCTTCAAGCAGAGTCACCCCACCACAGGGCAGCTGTCGGAAGAACAAATGAAACTCCACACACCATTCTCCTCCATCTCTGGTGGTCTTTGTGGTTTCATTTAAAAACAAACAAAAAGTTACCTGCTTTGGGTGGGGATCGAGGGTGGAGGGGAGGGATAGGGGAAGATAAATAGTCATATATATAACAATCACTTCTTGAAGAAGTATAATTGTAAATAAGCCATGTAAAATGCCTTTTTAAATTTAATTTTATAGCTGGCTCCAGTTCAAACTGAGTATTTGTACATGAGACCCCTCCTCGGGCTTGCAAGTGCAGGAACCCCGTTAAGATCCAGCTGTGGTCTGGCATCTCCCATATTGCTGTGGCTGAAGACGGGAATGGACATGGGGCTTGTCAGAAAAGAACCGGAATCCAGTCTCAGTGACTGGTAGCTGGTTTCATCCCTTCCTTCCCATCCCCCTCTCCTTCAGAAAATCATGACCTTGACTTGTGCGTGGGGTCTCTCTCCCCTGGTGGGAATCACCACCCCCATCCTAGTCTTTGGCCTAGCAGGAGACTGTTCTAGAATGTGGCTCACTGCTCAGATCAGGCCCCCAGGAGGCCTCTCCACACTCCTCCCTCATTCCCTGGACTTAAATTTGTGTCCTTTCACATCCTTGAGATGTGTAGTCCCTCCCCCCCAGTATGGAACTTCACCCCATTTCTAAAATTTGGGCCAAAATGGCCAGCTGATTCCTTCGAGCACTCCCTTGTTTATTTCTCTCAGGATTCTTTGATATTGTCATTAACTGGTGTATAGAAATAATGCTGTTTGTACACTAAGAATTCAGTGAGGGGGCAGAGGAGGCCTGTGCTTTGAGGCCAGGATCCAGGCAAGACCAAACAGACGATAACTTTAGACAGAGGAAGAACCCAGAACCCCAAGAGCACATGGGCTCATCCCACGCCGACTTCTTCAAGTCCAAGTCAAAATTCCTTCTCTTTTTTTGTGCCTCTTTGTTTTGCCCTGAGCCAAATCCCCTCAATTCGCAGTCCCTCTTGGGTTCTGCAGAATTCTTAAAAATGCCAGCTTGTTGGTTCTTTCTCCCCCTCCCCGTATCCCTTAAAAGATATTTATATATTGTGATTAGGAGTACTTCTGATGAGTACTTCATAGTTGGGGTTTTTTTAATTGCCTTGTTTGCCTTCAATTTCCTTAATTTTCACGGTTTACATGGGGGTGTGTGTATAGGGGTGTATGTGTGTACATATGTGTGGGTTGGAGTTTTTTTTCATTGCATGTGTTTGTCCATGGACATATGATCCCCACGAGCCGTGGGAGTGATGGGCCAGGCGTGGTTCTCCCGTTCGCAGTTTGTTGTGTTTTTTTTTTTTTTATTTTGGGGAGGGCATAGAGAGGTTTAGAAAACCAACTGCTTTGCAAAGCTCTTACCAGCTCGTATGAGAGAGCAGGGACTGCCCTTGAGAATGCTGGTACGTTGTATCATACGTTGTAAAAGAATTTTGCGCCTTTGTGCTTTGAATTCCCTTCACGAGGGCACATGATCCACAGTTCACTTGGTTTTCCTTTGCTTTATGGTGCACATAGCAGCAATAACAGCATCCCCTGTCCTCCTGCCCCCGACTCCTGTCCTGGCCTTGCCTCTCTTCAGTGTCCCTCCTCTCTCCACCGAGGCTGCGAGAGAGCAGCTCTCACTGGGACAGCGCTCATGTCTGGAAGGTTCTGCTGAGTCAGACTCCTTTCATTCCTGGTTAAGAGTGACGTGCGTCCCTAGCGGTGGGCGAGAGGACCTAAATTGTCACTCCACAGGAGCAGCGCTGTCAGAGCTATACGGCCGCCCAGGGACTGGCACCCAGTTCCAAAAGAAACAAGCTGATCTGAGGCCAGAGGGCAAGGCTTCCTTTCACTGTTTGCAGTCAGCTCTTAGATTCTCTTGCAATCATGTGTGTTTGTGTCATTAACTCCAAATCTCAACATGCACTGTTAATCCTTTATCCAGAGAATTGACGGGATTGTCCTGAGAATTCGTGGAACATGTTAGGGAAACGGCCAGCCAGGTGCTTGCACTCTTGGAGGTGTGAACTTCTCATACGGAAAAAGGAGAACTGAATGTGACCTTGTGCATATTTTGGCAGCTGAAGTTCTTCAAGGCCACTGATGGGTGACCCCTTAAGTCAGTTACGACTCTGTTTGCCTCATGCAGGGAAAGGCCAATGCGGAATTGCAAGCCTCTCTTCCTCTTTTCTCACTGTTTTGTTCGTCTTTTGGGTTTTTTTCTGTGAGTGAGGGGGCTCATTTGCTAACTTTTCCTTTCGAGATTCCCAGGAGTTATTTTGTCAGCCCTCCTCTGGAGTCGGCTCTCCTCTGGGGTCGGCTCTCCTCTGGGGTCGGCTCTCCACTGTGGTTGGCTCTCCGCTGCGGTCGACTCTCTGCTGAGCTCGGCTCAGCGGCACTGCTCGTCTTTGACGATGGTGTTGAACTACCAAACCGACTTCCATCACTACGTTGTGTTTCGTTAGGTTTTTCCCTCCAGCTTGCTGTTATGTTTTCAGAGGTGCCAGGGGTACATTTTTGCACTGAAATCTAAAGATGTTTTAAAAAAAGAAAACACTTTTCACAAGACTAGTCCTTTGTCATGACATTATTTACTCATGTGTTTGTACATTTTTGTATGTTAATTTATGAATGATTTTTTCAGTAAAAAATACATATTCAAGAACCAAACTCTGGTGGTCGCCTCTCTTTGCCTGGACGGGCCTGGCTTCTCGGGGTTTTACCTTCCCTCTACCAGGAGCACTCACTCCTGTGTGGCCCTTCCCTGTGGCCAGTGAACCTGTGACGAGTCACTGTGTTTCCCTGAAAGACTCGGCAGCAAAGCAGGACACTGAGGCCGCCGTGCTAGCCCGACCCCTCCCATCCTTGCATTTCCTTTTCCAGTGACTGAGGGTGCTGTTGGAGCCCAAGGAGCATGGGCATCGGCTGCCAGGGAAGGAAAGCACTGGGGGGCCAAATCCAAGGTGTCCATCTGCCTGATTCTGCCCCCAGCCACACCCGTGGTTACTGTTTACTGAATCATTGTCCACCGCTCACCTTAGTGAATGTCCAGACGCTGAGGCTTGGACGATACGCTGAATCTGACAGGTCTGTGGCCCCATAAAGCGTACTGCCTAGCGGTGATGGGTGATGGTATCATGAAAACAAAATCACAGCTGTGCTAAGCGCTATAAAGAAGTCTGTGTTCAGTGGGCATGCGTGGCTGGGAAGGGGAGTGTCCTAGGGCTGACGGTACAAGACTTTTCACCAACTTCTGGGGCTTCGTCTGACATACTTTGGACATGTTTTAAGGAGAGACAGGTCTTTAGAGAGGGACATCATGCTGGGTAGAGTAGAGGGACAGCACAGGAGGGGAAGACCCTCTATGAGGTGGATTGATTCAGTGACTGCGGTAATCGGGATGGGTGTGTCAGAGGCAGTGAGATTGGCACAGGATAGAGCAGGGTTTAGGGCTGTTGTACATAGGGTCGCTATGAGTTGCAGACGACTCGACGGGACATAACAACAACAACAAGAAGCACAGTGCGTAGTGTGATTCAAACAAAATATCCCAAAGCTTGTTGCTGTTGAGTTGGAACTGACTCCGCTTGCCCCCCCATTGTATCAGTGAGTGCGGAGGGGTATCGGTGACACCCCATCCTTCTGTTAGCCAGATGTTCAAGACAGACCTTCACTTGGAGGTGGTAGTGGGGACGGGCACTGTCTTGCTCCGAGTACATTCAACACGCCTGACTGGTATGTCAAATTCCTGCAGCATGTTCCAATAAACAGCCCCAGCCACTGTGTGTCCGTTAAACCAGACGTTAACAAGCCATACCACACTGTCACCCTCGGACGTTCACGTGCTGTTCCCTTGTCCACTGTGATTAGCTCTTTGCCCAGTTGTTTGTTGTCGAGTGCTATCAAGTTAGAACAGACCCATAACTTTACCTCCAGCAGGTTTTCAGAGCCAGTAAATCACATGAGAGGAGATTGCCCATAGTTTCCCCCAGCTAATGGATTTGAACTGCTTACCCTTGGATTGATGGCATAATTCCTTACTTCTATGCTACCTTAAGTTAAATGGCCTAGTTAATTACCAGACCTGATCCTGATCCTTCTTTATAAGGGGTACCTCAGATGCAACATTTATAGCACAAAACCAGCAACAATCAAGAAAGTATGCCCAGTTGATATGTATACCAATTGATATGCTCAGAAATGTTTGAGATGTCACTGAAGTATCTGGCCCACCAGTTCACATATACACTATAAACTTCTCCATTTGTCCTTTAATTTGAGTCATGAAACTTTGCTGGAGGTTGATAATCATCGTTAGTGTTATGGTCATTCAAAGTTTGAACACATTTTGTTGGGACACGTGTGTGTGTTTGTGTATTTGTTGTTATGTGCTGTCGAGTCAGAATCTAGGCCCAGCGGTCCTTGCAGCAGGTTTTCAGAGGCTGTGGAACAAGGCCACCAGGTGTTACACCTGTCAATTTTATGTATCTCTCTCATTGAGAGTGAGAGTTGCTGTTGGGTTGTAACTGACTCATAGGTAACCCTCCATTGGGTTTCCAAAGCTATAAATTGCACTGGAGGAGATTGCCTGTCCATCTCCTAGGGAGATGCTGATCGATCCAAACCACGAGAGAG